GAATGAACACCAAAGCACGCCCATTACGAGTTGCCCCCATTCCGAATGCTCTTCCAGACAAAGTTATCACAGCCCCATCAGTGGATAGCCTTGAGAGGAAACTTGACAAATACTTACTCACCCGTAGATTACTATCACCTTCCTGAACCAACTATGTCCAAAGCATGTCTCATAAATTACCACGATTGTCATTACCCAATCATTATCGTCGCCGTTTCCCTTCTTGTTCCTTTAATTCCGTCTTCGTCAGCATTACCAATTAATTAGTTAACTTATTTAATTGGTTGTTGAAACAGTCCTCTTCTCTTAGCACTTGAATTATCGCTTTATTATTTTCACATTGCAACAAACCAACCTCTTCCCTAGTAATGTAGGAGTTTATGATATCAAAAAACCCTGCTGTTCTGAGACAAGCGTATTCACTCAAACTACAATATATACAAATCCATAAATAACTACCAAATTGACTAGAATTAGAGCCACCGTGCAGTTAGACCACCATCCGCTAGACATTATCGAATACTTAAAGCCGTGCCGAAATAACAAGAGGTGAGTGCAAAGAAATCAATTAGTTTTTACAAGATCGTCACAAATATATTAGCGATACTGGAGATTCTGCGCATAGTTTGGAAAGTGCGTTACTCAACAGGGAGGCTGCATATGTATTATATTCTATCGGTTTCAACATATGATCACCAGTTTTACTTATAATGGTTGAATATTACTGAATCTTGGGACAAGATTTACTAATTTGGGTGGATTCTTGGAAAATAATCCTTAGTCTTGTAAATCGACACTTAACGAATTATAAAGATTGAAATAAACATCTCATAGAATATTCGACTTTGAATTCATACAGTCGTTTCACTTAGCACTTTTATTCTAGAATATAATTCATTCTAGCTAGGATCATTAGTGTAAGTAGTTAACATCCCTGTATAACCCAAGGAACACAAAAAGGGGAAATAAAGGAGTAAATACTTTGGAAGCGAAATAAGAAAACGCGCCAGAATGTCGCCTTTTTCGCCTGTCCGGGGGAAATAATGCGGATTTTCGTCGTTTTGTCGATAAATGACCGACTTTTCGCCTGAATTTCCGCTGAATTGTCTACTTTCCGCCGAATTACCGACTTTTCGCCTAAATTCCCGCTAAATTGTCTACTTTTCGCCTAAATATCCACTGAATTACCGACTTTTCGCTATTAGTTTAAACTAATAGCTATTAATCCTAACTCTCTTTTCATTCCAATCCATCTCGTTGTATCATCTAAAGATACTCTATGTCTTATTTGTGGTCGGTCCTAACTCCTTAGCTATCTGGTATTATTCTTGTTGTTACTTACAAGGACTATAGTTTTGATTCTTAAGTGAAGCAATCTAAATTTATCATGATAACATATATCTATAGTTATATAATTATGTAAATAAAATCTAAATATTAACTGTATTGCCTCAGAATCTCTCGTCTATTGTTCCTGGGTTTAATGAGCGAACAACCATATTGAGGAGTGAAGTGCTATGGTTTGGTTTTAAATGCCCTAGAACTTGTTAACTGTTTATGTGGAAAATGTTAACATGCCAAACTTTATTGTTTCTGGTTGCAAACTTAGCTGTTTTATTATTAACAAACGACGTTTTTCATTTCATTAGAAATAATAAACAAATATATCAGGCCATTTCTGGTCTTCTTTTGAAAATTTAAGCATGAACTGTTAGTTGCGTTGGAACGTCTGCTTTATTTTGCATGTACTTTTGTTATCTTCACATTAATTAGATACCAGGGAATTTTCAGTTGACATTATTTGATCGCTTGCTATCTTCGTGTTTAGCCTTTGTACTGTAATAGTGTTATCAAAATGTTGATATCACATACAGGTAGAAATTGTATTTCCTTGTCTGAGAAAGTCTTGTGGTCAGTCAGCAATAGTCAGAGAGGAGAAAATATACCATGTCTTTACTTGAGTGGAAATCGTAGGTTCACATATTAGGCCTCAACCAAATATATTCAATGGCAGCAAATTTTATGTTTCTACATATATAAATGAATAAAATAAAGAATTTTTAAAAATGCAGTCGCTGATGTACATACGTACTGTGCTAGAGTACTCAGACTACGTAGTTTTATTTGGTAAAAAGATAATAAAATACAGTCTTCTGATCGCCTTTAACAACAGTGCAATCATCATTATTATTTATTTATTTTAACACATAGATGTTGGTACAAGGAGGCACCAAATACATATGTGCCACACAAATCTCATTTGATATGTGTGTGGGCTGTGATACTGACCGGGTGCCCAAACTGAAGCAGCTGGTTTTCTTAGGGGGTCACACCCGGAGCCTTCGACCTGAAGGTCTGATTCATAATGCAGTAGAACAACGTTAGGAGATGCAGTACATTTGTAGATGGTGACCAACGATCGGTTCATACGCCATTTGTTCCTTCAGGATCCTGGAGCCAGCCCATGTGCACCATTGGTTTGGAATCAGGGGTTTCCAACTCCCCTAAGTGTATACTCCATATCCACCAACTTGGTTAATGCGTCGGACATTCACTTTCCGTCCTCTCAATTTCGTAAACAATACCCCTGCCACGAGAAGGCGATAAGTAGAACTTTCCTGGTAGAGGCTATATACGCGTGTCCATGTGAGGGCATTTCGAGAGGTAGAGCGAACTCTCTCCATTCTTGGCCGTACCAGGGTATTTGGGGGCAGTGCAATCATGTTTTGGCTCCGTCTCTCTTTCTCTGAATTTTAAGTGCTCCAACGATATCGATGATATGATGGAAAGAAAAATCCATTTTCGATTGATTTACTCATTGTGAGTTTCATTCAACATTACATCCATTCTAATTCAATGTGATGATCATTCACTGTAGCAATTGTTTTCTTTTCTCGTATGATATTTTATTCTGTATAATATACGATATTCTTGTATTCCATGGACACGAACTATGCTCAGTCTGTTATTTGTTATAACTCTAAGTATGTTTCATATATGTGATTTAATCCTAATTATTAATCAAAAATGGGTGTAAAATCAACATATAAACCAGTGTATTTTAGACTTTTGATCATCGTTGTCGTCGTGCTTTGGGGCTAATAAATCTTCACTTATACCAGTCTTGTGTTCTTACTTTCGCATCGTGGGAATTTCAGGGATCCCTCGTTCCGAGTATAAGTGATCAGCGATTTCCTGGCACAACAATTGCGACGACCAAATACAACAATCGAGGTTAGACATAACCAGGCTTAAATCGGAAGTTGCTTAATAAAGACGCTTATGTTTTTTAACTGAAGTGCTTGAGGCATATGCTTAATCATCGCGTACTCTAATAATGGTGAGTGAAGTCCGAGAAGATTGTAAAAAGCTTAAGCATACCCAATGTAAGATGTGGCATGAGCCCGCGGTCACTGACAGTTCATCTTAGCCGCGTCCGTTGGTGTACATTACTTAGCTAGGGTCCACTCCGTAAACATGATCAGTGGTTAAAAATGTTAGGCGACGACTCTAAATTATTTGGAGTAGCCCAGATTCATTTGTTATTTATACTCCTCTTGATTTTAGGTTTCAACATTCCAATACTTTTTGTTTCGCCTGTTTTCGAACCACATTTTTGCATTTGTCTCCTTTTTATCATCAACACAATTACTATTTTCTCGATGCTTTGATTGTTATCAATTTTATCTCCGTACTAATTATCTTATGTGATTGTAATTTGATACATATCTGTGCTGCGTCCTACATTAATTATGACTAACTGATAACCTAAAATCGAGTACCTAAATTATCATAGAAAATCGCCACTGTGGCAGCCTACAATAACTGATATTAAACAAGCCAATAGTGTCTCAGCTTTAATACTTTTAACTAATTATGTTCACGAACTGTCTAGTTTATGCCAAAAGCTGTGTCATTACAACTTATTCTGTATGAAATAAACTAGCAAATGTTTGGTGGTTAGAGGTATTTGACGGGAAACAAGGTTGGGGTTCCTACGTGGAGTATAAATTCCCTTAAAATGGAAGGTACGCTTTACTGACAAGTGCCTATTAGCACAGAACGTAGGCTCAGGTTTTTTGTTCTGCAATATATATATCACATTTGTTTCGTAACAACCTACCATAAATAGTTAATTGAACTGTGGTAGGCAGTATAAAATGTTAACATATATTCCTTCTCTAAAGACATCTAGACTGTTGGATCAGCGAATCCTCAAGTCATCATTATTCATTCATATAATGTAACTCATGCCCCCAAATGCCCTGGTACGACCGAGAGTAAGGAGAGTCCGCTCTACCTCTCGAAATGCTCTCACATGGACACGCGTATATAGCCTCTACCAGGAAAGTTCTACTTATCGCCTTCTCGTGGCAGGGGTATTGTTTACGAAATTGAGAGGACGGAAAGTGAATGTCCGACGCATTAACCAAGTTGGTGGATATGGAGTATACACTTAGGGGAGTTGGAAAACCCTGATCGTTGGTCACCGGCTACCACGAGACTGCATCTCCTAACGTTCCACTGCATTATGAATCAGACCTTCAGATTGAACGCTCATGGTGTGACCCCCTAAGGAAACCAGCTGCTTCAGTTTGGGCACCCGGTCAGTATCACAGCCCTCACCCATATAAAATGAGATTTGTGTAGCGCATATGTATTTGGTCCTTCTTTGTACCAATATCTATGTGTTAAAATACATAAATAATAAATGTAACTCACAGACAATTTACCAATTTAATGCATCTCATAATATAAACGAACCATCGAATTTATTCAGTTTGTTTTCTACACTTTTTTCCAATGATTTATTTGTACCTAACTTTTGACATGTCAACATTTTCTCGATAGTAACAAAAAGCATAATACTTTATCTCTTCATTTAGATTATTTTGCAAATTACCTGTGTTCAAGTACAAATTTCATAATTATGTATTCATATATATACCCATATATATATGTTTATTTATGCACTAATATTTAATGAAAGTAAAAAATGAATGATGGACGATTATCAACAGTTAAAAAGTAAATATGAAAGATTATGTGTGGAATTCAAAAAGGTTTGTTGTTTTTCATATTGTTTACATTAAATTGTCTACTTTTGTAGCTTCGTTCAAAGTATAAAACGTTAAAAGACAATGAAAATGAATTAAACCAACAACTACAGGTAAGTATTCGGGTGTAACTTTTTCCTTTAGTTGTATCATTTATGTAATATTCGATGACTTCGAAGTTATTAAAATGTTCCAATCAAGAGTTCAGATAATGGATTGATCTCAGACAAACATTCGAAACTAGGAAGCACTAAACAACTGTTTCATCCTTATATAAAGCTTCTTGACAATCCCCACCCATCATCTGATCAATGACTAAACCCAGGACGTCCATGTCCCGCGACGAGCGCTTAGCATTTAGAACACTTATTCTGTATTCACTGGTTCACGTGTCTAGTCTTAATAAATTCCTTATTTTGGGCAACCCCCAATCCCACTGGTAGGTAACTGCTTCAAACTTGATATGCTGTTCATGAGTTCTCACTAAAACTTCGGAAGTTATTTCTTAGCATGTATTACTGTCAAGCACCTGCCAATGAACATGAAGGTTCTGGGTTCGAGCTTTAGTGAGGTAGGTGCAGGCTGTCAAGGAGTCCCATAATAAGGTACAACAGCTGTCCAGCGTCATCTAGTTTTAATTGGATATTCTAATTTATTTCTTTAGACACATAAACATTGGTACAAGAAGGCACCAAATACATATGCACCACACAAATCGAATGATTTGTGTAAGAGCTGAGATATTGCCCGGGCGCCCAAACCGAAGCAGGTGGTTTTCTCAGGAGATCACACCACGAGCCTTTGACCTAAAGGTCTAATCCACAAAGCAGTGGAACAATGTCAAGAGATGTAATCCCATAGTAACCGGCATTAAGTTCATACGCTATTTGTTCCTTCAAGATACTTGAGCCCATGTGCATCATTGGTTTAGAATCATGGTTTTCCAACTCTCCTAGGTGGATCCTTGATATCCACCAGCCCGGTTAAAGTGTTGAATATTCTCTTTTCGTTTTTTCAATTTCGTAAACAACAGTAATGCTACGAGAAGACAGTGAGTAGGACTTCCATGACAGTGGCGAGCTAACTAACATTGGATTATTATGACTTTTATATGCATACAACCTATAACTTGGATTCCTCTACTAACAAGTCTTCTCTTCGGATAACTATCTTTTATATATGTAATTCGGGTATCTTATTCTCTATTTATATATTATATATATATTCTACATAGATTCATTATTCATTCTTTATTTTCTTTGAAAATGTAATAAAATATATAGGAGAAACTATTACAAAAAGATTTATATATTGAAAAATTAAAACAAGAAATTGAACAATTAAAAGTAAATAATCATAATATTTCTATTAATGGAATTACAAATGAAAATTCAACGAAATTATCATTATTACTTAATAATATTAACAAGAATAATGATCATTCAAGTCTTATTGATACTGTCAATGTAAATGAAGTGGTAAAGAAATCTATCATTACTCAGGTTAGTAATATGTGATGTTTTTTTTGTTAAGAAAAAGTATATTTTTTTTGGTTTAAGTATGTGAAGCTTCCAAATGGCTCAGTACGATCGAGAGTGGAAAGAGTCAGCTTTTGTTCTCAAAATGCTTTCAAGTGGTCATGTGCATACAACCACTACCAGGGAAGTGCTACTCATTGTTTTCTCATGGCGGAGGTGTTGTTTACGAAATTAAAAGGATGAAAAGCGAATGTCCGACGCTTTAACCGTGTTGGTGGATACGGATAGTCCATTTAGGGGAGTGAACCCTGAGCTCGTTTACAATGGTGCAGGTGCATCCACTCTTTGTGTTCTCCCAAATTCTAATCTTCTGAATTCTTTATGTCCCTTTTTTTCCTCTTTCGAAATTTATTTCAGTAGATTATACTCCTTGAATAACATCTTGAAACCCTAATGTTTCCGATTACTGCTTATACTCTTACTACCTCTACCACTATGAGATTTGGATCGACAACAGCATCTCTGTGCTAATGTGGTATGGCAACTCGAACTGATGTACATACGTACGTAGTTCTATGTTGTTACTGACTGAATGAAACCCTGAGCTCCAGGATCATGACGGAACAAATGGTGTATGAAGCAATTATTGGTCACTGGTTACTATGAGACTGCATCTCCTGACGTTGCTCCACTGTCTTGTGGATTAGACCTTGTTATAGCCCGAAGCCGCCAATCAGAAGAAGCGAATTATCGATTGGACCAAGGACGCGTAAAACACGTGCGAGCAGCCTAGAGTCCTGGTAGGTCCTGCTTTCCGCCTAACCCAACCAGTTAAACCCAGAACGCCTATCTCAGCCCCTGCAATATGAATCCTTATATTTCAAACATACTGAGTTTATATACCAATCAAACAGACCACAACGTACCAATAAAATATGAAACAACATTTGTACAAGAATTAACCAGATGTGGCTGTGAATGAGGGAGGTAGTAATTAATATACTGGGTATAACTCAAGAATGGTCAAACGTATAATAATAGTTTATGGGTCAAAATAAAGCTTATAATAAGTGGAATATGAATATGCATAGTTTAGTTACTTAATAATTATACAATAGAAATATACGTTTAGTATTGGTCCCCATCAATAGATCCCAAAAGTTACCATTCATTATTCTTTTCGGGACATAACAGACCTTTAGGTCAAAGTTTCGGGGTGTGACCTCCTAAGAAAACCACCTGCTTCGGTCTGGGCACCCGGGAAGTATCACAACCCTCACACAAGTCCCATTTGATTTGTGTGGCGCATATGTATTTGGTGCCTCCTTGTAGCAATATCAATGTGCTCAAATAATAATAATAATAATAATAATAATAATAATAATAAAATTTTGAATAATTATCTTCTGATACTCATATATACCAACTTATTATTTTAACTGAATAGGAAGTAAATAATAATTTGCATCAAACGACACTATCAGATGCTTCTTATACACCTATCCATATCACAAAACATAATTCATTTCCCATGGTAACTAATGATAATTCAACAAATTCGATTCTATCATCTCCCACTAATATTTGTCATGATATTATTGTGGATACCTATAATAAATCATCCAGTTTAAATTTACTTCCATCTAAATCTTTATTATCATCGTTATCATCAAAATTACCATCTTCATCTTCATCATCATTTCTATCTGAAGACACATTAATGATAACAAATACAACAATATCTATCCCTACAACTTCTACTCCTAGTACTACTACCACTACTACTCCTACTTCTACTCCTAGTACTACTACTTCTACTTCTACTCCCAGTACTACTACTCCTATATCTACTCCTAGTACTACTATTACTACTACTACTTCTACCCCCAGTACTACTACTTCTACTCCTAGTACTACTACTTCTACTTCTATTCCTATTTCTACTCCTAGTACTACTACTACTACTACTTCTACTCCCAGTACTACTACTACTACTACTTCTACTCCTAGTATTACTACTTCTACTTCTACTCCTATTTCTACTCCTAGTACTACTACTACTACTTCTACTCCTAGTATTACTACTTCTACTTCTACTCCTATTTCTACTCCTAGTACTACTACTACTACTACCCTTAATCTTTCATCTTCTTATGATCAAGATTGGACATTCATTGTAAATACAGAAGAGAAATTAATTGAACAATTTGTACAATTATTAAATAATTGGATCAATTCATTAAAAACAAATCAAAATTTATCATTTATAAATAAAGAAAAAATAGATCCTATTCTTATGAATCGTATTACACAATTAGAAAGTCAATTATGCGAAATTTCATTACAATATCAATTGGAACGTAAACGTCGATTAAAAGAACAATCAGTTAGTTAAATTGTCATTTACCTTTTAATTTGAACATAGTTAATCATTTATTCTTTGTATTCTATTTAAGGATTGGGTTTCAGAAACTTTTGTAAGAGTGTCAGTCAATTAGTCAGTTATGACAACATGATGACTGACCTCAAATACCCGGGTATGACTGAGAGTGGGGAGAGAGTCAGCTCTCCCTCTCAAAATGCCCTCACATGACCACGCGTATACAGCAGTCAGTCAGTCAGTCAGCCACAACGTAAGACCAGGCACATATGTGCATCGGTTCAGGTTGCCATACCGCATCAGCACAACAAGATGAACACCGGATTCATAGCAGTGGTTAGGTCAAAGGTAGTAATATATAAGAGAAAGATTGCATATAGAGATATAGTACAGCCACTGTCAGGGAAATCCTACTCACTATTTTCTCGCGGAACCATTGTTGCTTACGAAACTGAAAGGATGATTCACCTAGTGGAGTTGGAAAACCTTCATTCCATACCAATGGTGAACATGGGTTCCGGGATCCTAAGGAAACAAATGATGAATGAACCAATTATTAGTGACCGACTATCATGGGACTGCACCTCCTAACTTCGCCCCACTGCCTTGTGGATTAGACCTTTAGGTCAAAGGTTTGGGGAGTGACTCCCTAAGAAACCCATCTGCTTCTTTTTGGGCTCCCGGACAATGTTCCAACTCTCACACAAATCGAATGTTGTTGTGTGTTATTTCCTAGTTGCGCACACTGTGAAAAAATACTTTCTGTTGAGGAACCTGAAAAGGAAATCGAATCAGGTGTAGTTTTAATTAACTGACAAGAGAGCTTATAGTATAACTATTTGAGATCAACCACACACTGATCTTTCTGTAAGAAGTTTGTAATGTGTTAAACTCATACTTTTTAGAATTTAATCGCCAGTAACAGAAATCCATGGAGTAATATATCACCTGGTTATTTTAGGGCTAATCTTGTTTAGTTATTCTGTCCCTTTTGGTAAGGTAGCATCGCTGCAAATGCTGATTATCTGAGCAAATCACCTTACTCCTGTTACTTACCAGTACAGTCGACAGTAGGTTTTCACTCTCGAACCTTATGTTTGCTGCTCACACTCTTATTACTCCCTAACAGACTTGTCTGGTATAGTAGGACCCTAAAAAACTATTGTTCCACCTAATATTTCCGGTTGGCTCGCTGTTACTGCGAGTTGGAATGTAATAATTATGTACATCTATTGTCTTTCGATTTTCGAGTTTTCTGTAATAACTCTCCTTTACAACATTCCTACCTTAAATTACGTAATGATTTTATGTATGTATTGTACGTATGTTCAATTTTATTATTATTATTATTATTATTATTATTATTATTATTATTATTATTATTATTATCAAAGCAGTCCGAAACAAAAGACGACGCTAAGCCTATTGTTCACAATAGTCAGGTGAGTGATTCAAACGATCCTGAACAATTATCTAATAGTAGTAATGGAAAATCTGATGAAACTCCTAATCCACATAAAGTAATAATGAAACGTTTACATAAAGCTATTGAAGAATCAATTTATTTCGCTTCAAGAGCTAATCTCTTACAGGATGAAGTAAGTTGATCCTCATGTCTTACATGATTTTTGTTTTATAAAATTAATAATAAAACATACTTATCAAAATTGTATGTTTTTGTAATTGTCCAGATTGTCCTAAAATACCCTGGTACGGTTGAGAGTGGGGAGAGTCCGCTCTCCCCTTTGAAACGCGCGCTCATATGGCCACGCATATTGATATGATGGGAAGAGAAGTCAAATTTCCCCGTCGCCAGTTGTTATATCTCTAGATACTTATATTCTGGATATGACGCGTATAACTTGAGCAATTGAACGCTAGAACCCTTCCAAGTCACAATGAGAAGACAGAAGACTAGTGAAATGAATGTTATTCCAAACAGTGTCGACGAACTTGTCGAAATCACACATTTATTTATGTGATTTCATCCTAATTATTAATCAAAATGGGTGTACAATCAATATATGAATGAGTGTGATTTCGACTAGGTCGTCGTCGTGTTTTGGGGTTAATAAATATTCACTTATACCAGTCTTTGTGTTCTTACTTTCGCGTCATGTGAATTGTAGAGGTCCCTCATTTAGAGTACAAGTGATAAAAGTTTCCGACATAACAATCAGCGACGACCAGATATAACAAGTAAGCATTCAACTGACAACTTATAACAGTTGGCGATGGCGTGAAAAAAAGAGCCAAGACAATCAGCATACAGAATTCTCGCTGGTGTCCGTGAACGACATTGATTGTTAATTATTCATACAGTGTTTTTCATTACCGTGCTGATTCAGAAAATGGCTATCTCTTCCGATCATTTACAATTGCTATTGGAGTGACAACAGCAGCGTTTCCAAAAGAGGTTTTAGACAATTCACGCACACGGCTGCTAAATCATCCATGTTTTGGAGATGTGACAGTTGATAAATTAATTTCTAATTTGCATAAAGAGTTGGAAAATGACTGCAGGATGTGTGAACGTATTGATGAAAGCTTCACTGAATCCTTGATAAGCGGTAATGTAAACGAAGTAGTAGCAGTCATTCATGATCCGCCTAGTGGTCCAGAAGTATCTATTTCAGAGACATGCCCTGTCGTGGGTTCAAATCCCATTGTCCCCAAAACACCATGTACAAACACTGACTTGTCCAGCTCACAGAAAGACGACGTCCATCAGGGAAGTTCTACTCACTGCCTTCCCGAAATGGGGGTGTTTTTCACGAATTCGGGAGGGCGAAAAGCGAATGTCCGACACCTTAACCGGGTCGGTGGATATGGAACATCCATCTAAGGGATTTCGAAAACCCTTATTCCAAACCAGTGGTGCACATGGGCTCCAGGATCCCGAAGGATCAAATGGCGTATGAACCAATTATTGGTTACCTGCTATCATGAGACTACACCTTCTGACGTTGCTCCATAGCCTTGTAAATTAGACCTTTAAGTCAAATGCTCAGAGTGTTTCACTTTAAGAAGACCACCCGTTTTGATTCGGCCACCTAAGAGTATCCCAGCTTATACACAAATCAAGTGACTTGTGTGTCGCATATTTATTTGGTGCCCCTTTGTACCAATATTTATGTGTTCAGATAAGTAAATTGAATTTACTGACAAGGAAACAATCATTTGCTACTTATCACAGATACATTTTTATGCAAAATTTATGTTAATTATTTATTTATATGTTTATATATTGTTAACAGTGCTACTTGTTCATTGTTGATAATATAAGGCAGACCTTCAATTTCATGATCAATAATAATAACAATAAAAAGTAACCAATTAGAATAGTGAACGTTGTCCATTTGTACACAAACGTTAATACACCTTGTAAAAGTCTAGTTTTGTTTGACATTTTGTCGGATACTCTCTCTCTCTCTCTCTCTGTCTATTATCATGTTAACGATTAGTTTCCTTGATGATAATTTAATAAAGTCGTACTGAATAAGTTTTCATTATACGTCCGTGATACACATTCAATTAGTTAACCATAAGTAATATGAAACATTGTGTGTGAGTTCAAGCTGTTACATCTTCATTATATATCTGTCCAAACCTAGCTATTAAATCAGAATAAACTAGCAGGGTATTTGTAATAATTAAGGTGAACACCAAAGCCACTTTACTAACCGATTATTGAATGTTTCAAATGTATATAGCCGTTGTTGACTAAGGCATACTTCATTAGCTATACTACAAATTCTTAAGGCTAATTTCACACTTTTCTATTCTATTCATTGATAGGTAAAATCCTCACCATGGGATTGTGAAAATTGTTCAGTTTTTGATTAAGATCATGAATTGATCGATGTTAGATCACCATTGAACACCTGGAAGCAATCAACAGTCATTTCATCCTAGTATGGAACTGATGAGCAATGCGCATCCATGATCGTACACGCGGAACTCGAACCCAGGACCGTCGATCTTGCGCATAAATACTTAACCTCTAGACCACTGAGTTGGTATCTAACGGTATTAATGTCTAACCTCAATCAGTCCATGAAATTGCACGATCATCTATTGTACTGAGGTAGATACCTGTTTCTTCAACCAACACCAAGGTCAGAATTTTCAATACAAATGTTAAGACAGTTCTACTGTATGGGGCGGAAACTTGGTGAACTACGAAAGCCATCATCCAGAAAATACAAGTGTTTATTAACAGTTGTGTACGCAAAATACTTCGGATCCGTTGGCCGGACACTATTAGCAACAGCGTACTGTGGGAAAGAAAAAACCAGATCCCAGTGGAGGACGAAATCAGGAAGAAGCAGTGGAAGTGAATAGGATACACATTGTGGAGAGCACCCAACTGTGTCACAAGACAAGCCCTCACATGGAATCCTCAAGGCCAAAGGAAAAGAGGAAGACCAAAGAACACATTACGCCGGGAAATGATAATAGACATGAGAAAAATGAACAAGAATTGGATGAAACTAGAAGGGAAGGCCCAGAACAGAGTGGGTTGGAGAATGCTGATCGGCGGCCTATGCTCCATCAGGAGTAACAGGCGTAATAATAATAATGATGATGATGATGATGAGATACCTGTCTCTACCTGACACAGATATTAGCTTCACTCATTAGTCTTTATTTAAACACTATTCTCTTAGATATTTTGATCATTTACTCATCTATATTCATCTATAAGGAATCATAAATATGTTATTGTTTTGTCTTATTATTTTTTTTAAGTTAGAATCTTTTATCCCATGGATATTACAACTTCTTCATTTACATCAAAAACAACAATATGAAATGAAAACAATGAAACAATATAATGAACAATTAAAACAACAATTAGAATTAATTAAAACAAATACAATCAAACAAATTAATGAAATGGCTAAACATATAAATAATTTAACTGAAGAATTACAAACAATTCGATTAAATTCATTAACAAATCATCATTCTCATAATAGTTTTAATAAAGAACAACAACAACAACAATCAAATTGTTTATCACTTCATTCAAATGATAATCAAGTTAAGAAAGTAAGTAATACTGTTATTACTGTTGTTGTTATTATTGTTGGTTTGTTGACATAGTTTAGTAACATAACTAACTTTGTACATGGAGAACTGCCCTAGTTAGTAGTGTCCCCAAATTCCCTGGTACAGCCGAGAGTGGGTCGAGTTCGTTATCCCTCTCCAAATGATTTCATACGTCCATGCCTATACATCCACTGTCAGGGAAGTCTCACTCACTGCCGTCTCGAGACATTACTGTTGTTTATGTGATTGAGAGGAAGAAAAAGCAAATGTCCCACGCTTTAACTGGATTGGTGGACAGTGAGGGTTCACCTAGGGCAGTTAGAAAACCGTGATTCCAAACCAATTGTGCACATGGGCTCCAAGATCCTGAGGGGAACAAAAGGCACATGAATCTAATGTTGGTGACTAGCTACCATGGGACTGCATCTCCTGACGTTGCTCCATTGCCTTGTGGATTAGACCTTCCGGTCGGAGGTTCCAGGTGTAGCTCCCTAAGAAAACCACTTGCTTTAGTTTGGGTACCCGGTCAGTATCACAGCCCGTGCACAAATCAAATGACTTTTATGTGTCGCATATGTAGTCGGTGCCCTTGTGTACCAATATTTATGTGTCCAAATCAATAATAATAAATCACAAATTAATTAGTTGGAAAATAGCTAGTTAAATTGTGTGAAACAACCTACTCCTCTATCTCCAATTCTACATACACTGGAAGATTGATTTCTTCACTGACAACTAGAACTCATGAAGAGCATTGGATAACAGTTTTGTTCTGGTTAGAAACTATTATTTAGCAGCACACAACTATGACCTTCATTATACTAAGACTGAATGTTGTTTAGTTCTCATGGTAAACCTGTTACAAGTCACCACATTTCCGATTTTCGATATATTAGAGTTTATACCAAATGTATCCATATTTCACAAATAATCATTCAACTACTTAATCTTTTTAGTTTATTTATTTGAACACATAAATATTGGTACAAAGAGGCCATGTGAAAGCACTTGGAGAGGGAGAGCGGACTCTCCCCACTCTCGGCCGTACCAGGGCATATTAAAGAATAGAAACCATTCAATGAGGAAAATTTTCTTTTCAATGAAGTTCTTTACTAAGATTAATAATTTAACATATATAGTAGTCTCTTAGAAAGTAAAGCTAATTGTATTCTGACATAAATTGTTTGCAAATATCAACTATATTCAGTGGTTCGAGGAAGTTGGTACGAACTCCTAAACACTTCGGTTTCATGTCATTCCAGTAGTTGTTAGCAAGACGAATCTGTATTCTTGAAGAGACTGACACTTTCTGTAGAATTCAAGCCCCCGTCACCTGTTCTTACAGGGGTTTTGCCATCGAACAACCTAGGTCTATAGTTTGCTCCCGACCAATTCAAGCTGCTTAACATCAAGATGCCATGTCTTTTCACTTAAACTAGCGGCCATATTTCAGCTTGATAAATAGAATTCAATGAACACTAAGGACTGGAAAAACATAACATTCTTCACTACACAGTGGTCGGTCACTAGTAAATATAGAATACTGAACGGAGGTTACGTAGTAGTCTGAATGCCAATAAGAAATGGGATTAAGACCCAGGTAGAGTAAGAGATTGAATATGGTACTTTTCTATACAGAGTTTAGGCTTGAATCAGTGGGTTACTTAGATGTCTGCAGTTTATAAGTTTTTGATTTTATGCAGTCTGAACCAGTTCTTCTGACTACATGGATGACTTTAAATGAGGATTTTGATTTCATGACATGATCAGGATTTACAACGTATTCAGGAATTGAGCTACTGATAGGCTAGCATTCTCCATCTGAATAAAGAATACATAGAGGTGTGTTTTGTATGGGCTTACTCTGTGGGGCCCATATGTGCCTCAAAGTCGGGTAGCTTGTCCCTAACATACCCATAAATCCATTATCGACTAGAAAAGTGTATACGAACTTCGATAAAGTTGGATTTTTCCCAAAAGCCCCCAAAAATTTGTTGTTTTTTTCATCATCTTTACAGCGGTCTTATCGCCTCTCGATTCGATATTCATAAAGAATATCTATTTCAATAATCTTTCACATTGTTTTACTTTCAAATTTCTAAGACGACAGACATTACCTGTTGAATTTTATCCAACTAATTGTTGGTTATGTCATCGATGCAGTTTTATCTAACCTTTGAGGATATAGAGTAAACTAAGTTCTTCCTCTAGCTCAGTGGAAAATTGTAGTAATAATAGTATCGTAGAGTTCCGTCTATTTGCAAAGTTGTTTTATGCCCTATGTTTTGGGGATGTTAGATCCCTAGACTCAGAATCGATCACAATGGCGTCGGTGTATACACTCTCTGTCTTCCCTTAAACTAAGAGATTAAAATCGCTTCATATCTTTTTTTCTACGAACGAATTCTTTCTTCCTGTACTATATCCTTATTGTAATCTTTCTTTTATATATTACCACCTCTGAATTAACTACTTTTATGAATCCGGTGTCCATCTTGTTGTGTTAATGAGGTATGGCAACTTCGACCGATGTATATATGTGCCTGATCCTACGTTGTAGCTGACTGACTGACTAGATCCCTAGAACTCACTTGGTAAATACCTTATTTTTGTAAATTTATTTTAAAAATTTGAATTTATTGTTTTCACGCCAAAAAGCGTTCATTTTCACCTTCATGTCATATTTCCCACTTGGGAAAATCTTAAACGTTATTAGTTTGTTGTATCTTTCAATATGCTATTTTGTGACACTTCCCAAGGACAATTTTATGCTGTATATATACGTTTGATTTGTGCCTCTTGTGATTGCAACTCCGCCTGGAGCGCGGATCGGCAAAGCAACAGCAGCATACCTACAATTGAAGAATGTCTGGAACTGGAAACAACTGTCTGTTAACCAACACCAAAGTCAGAATTTTCAATACAGATGTCAAGATAGTTCTACTGTATGAGGCGGAAACTTGGAGAACTACGAAAGCCATCATCCAAAAGATACAACTGTCTATTAACAGCTGTCTACGCAAAATATTTCGAATCTGTTGGCCAGACACTCATCAACAACTTACTGTGTGAAAGAATAAACCAGATCCCAGTGGAGGAGGAAATCAGGAAGAAGTGCTGTAATTGGATAGGACACACATTGTGGAGAGCATCTAAGTGCACCACAACGCAAGCCCTCACTTGAAATCATCAAGGTCAAAGGAGGAGAAAAGGAAGACCAAAGAACACATTACGTCGAGAAATGGAGACAGATATGAGAAGAATGAACAACAATTGGATAGAACTAGAAAGGAAGGTCCAGGACAGAGTGGTTTGTAAAATGCTGGTCGGCAGTCTATGTTCCATTGGGAGTAATAGGCGTAAGTAAGTATTGTGATTGCTCGTGATTTTGGCTGCTTACGGAATATATTTCCCCATTTCGAACTTGAACTTCTCTCTTTATTTAACCGGGGGGGGGGGGCTAGGACGCATCAGAATAGCTAACTTATTGGTTTTTGGTCACAAAGTCTTTGTTCCGTTCTCATAACTAGGTAAACTCATAATCACTTCCAAACATAGCGTCATATAAATCTTTTATGCGTATAATTAATAGTAAATTCATACTGTCATTTAATTATTTATCTCAATGGTTAAGATCATGAGTTAGTTGAAGCTAGACCATCATAGAAAACCTGGAAGCACTGGACGGCCATTTCGTCCTATTGTGGGACTCCTCAGCAGTGCGCACCCACGACCTCGCCCTCTGCGAGATTCGAATCCAAGACCTAGTGGTTTCGCGCGCGAGCATTTAACCACTAGACCACTGAGCTAACCGGTATCCAACGGTGTTAATGTGTAACTTCAACTAATCCACGAAATTGAGCGACACATTCACCATTTGTCTTCAATGAGTTACTATCTCCCAACAGACCTGGTTAAACTTCACTGATCACTACTTCTGATTCATGATCTTAACCATTGAAATTACTATAATATATCCACAAAACCCATCTGATATTAATCATTTATCTATTTTATTCTTTTTTTTATATATATAGACTACATTATTTAATGTATTGAGAAAATGATCTGTTGTGTGTATATATACACCTTCCATATTGCCTCCATTCATTTTAACAACTCACGTAATCATCATAAATATCAATCCAATTTCAATCGATTATATCCCAATATGTATATTAACAGATATCATTATGATGATTCGATATATATATATATATATGGTTTATTTCTTTTCTTGTCTCTATTGTACTATCTGTAAAAAAGGGATTGGATTCATTGTGTCTGTGTCTGTGTCTCTGTGTGTATGTACTATAAACCCCTATTTTATTGATTATTGATTATGTAACATTAAATTTTTTCTTATTGTTTTCATATTTAGATAAACAAATTATTGTAAAACACAACAGCAGCAACAACAACAGATTTTTCAGTTTTTCTATAATCATGTTTTTCATTAACAATATTTAAATAGTTTTAAGAGAAAGAGAGGGGGGGAACTTCTTTAAAAAATAAAAAAAAAATTTTTCTCGTTGCCAAGTTTTGTTTCTATTTAAAAATATTATTCTGATATTTATTGATTAGCAGGATTAATTTTGTTTATCTTTTTTCTTTTAAAAAATTTATTTGATAAAAGAATTAAAATTTTATTCTAAAAAAATATACGATTTTTTCAACTTGGAAACTTAATAATTGAATCACATAAATATTGGTACAAAGAGAGCTGTCCGGATGCCCAGAACGAAGCAGATGGTTTTCTTAGAGCGGGGGGGGGAATACACGCGGAGCCTTCAACCTTGAAGGTCTAATCCATAAGGCAGCGGAGCAACTTTAAGAGATATAGTCTCATGGTAACCGATCATCAATAATTGGTTCATATGTGATTTGATCCTTCAGAATACTGGAACCCATGTTCACTATTGGTTTAGAATTAGGGTTGTCCAACTGCTTTAGATGGATCTTCCATACCCACCAATCTGATTAAAGCGCCTGACATTCTCTTTTCGTGTTGTCAATTTCGTAAACAACAATGATGCTACGAAAAGGCAGTGAGTAGGACTTCTCGGACAGAGGCTGTATACTCGTGGCCATGTGAGAGCATTTTGAGACAGAGAGCTGACTCTCCTCACCCTCGCTTGCTCGCAACCAATAACTTCGTTACATTTAAGATAATTTATTGGGTATATATAATAATCGGTTTATGAAGTGGCGTTGGTGTTCATCTTAATGATTACAAACACCCTGGTAGTTTATCCTGATTTATTAGCTAACTTTGCACACATATAATGAACATGTAACAGCTTGAACTCATACACAAAGGCTCATTAGTGACTCACTTCCAGAGATACTCCTGGAGTTCTAGTGAGAAGCCATTAACCAGTTGAGTTCAACTAGGTCTCTTGTGAGATATCAGCTCACTGAAGACAATCGTATGCGGTAACGCAACTTCGTGGATTGGTTTAAGTTAGACATTAACACTATTGGGTTCCGGCTCAGTGGTCTAGTTGGTTAAGCGCTTGGCGCGAGACCGTCAGGTCCTGGGTTCGAATCCCACGGGGTGCGGGATCGTGGATGCGCACTGCTGAGGAGTCCCATACTAGGACGAAACGACCGTCCAGTGCTTCCAAGTTTAATTGAATGTGTATCACGGACGTACAATGAAAACTTACTAAGTACAACTTCATTAAATTATCATCAAGGAAGCTGGTCGCTAAAATGATAATAGACACAGAGAATCTGACAAAATATCACAAAACTAAACTTTTACAAGGTGTATTAATGTTTGTGTGCAAGTGGATAACATTCACTATTCTAATTAGTCTTACTCATTGCCTTCTCTCGGCGGGGGTGTTGTTTAAGAAATTGAGAAGATGAAAGGCGAATATCCAGCGCTTTAACGGGATCGGGAGACACTGAGGGCCCACCTAGTAGAGTTAGAAAATCCTGATTCGAACCATTTGGTGCACATGGGCTTCAAGATACTGATGGAACCAAAGGCGTATGGGCCTATAGTTTGTAACCGGCTACCATGGTACTGCATTTCCTAACGCTACTCCATTGCTTTGTGTATTAGACCTTCAGGTCAAAGGCTCGGTGTATGACACCTTCAGTAGAGCTGCTGCTTCTGTTTGAGCACCCTAGCAGTATCCCAGCCCTCACTTGAATGATTTATATAACACATATCTATTTGCTGCTTCCTTGTACCAATGTTTGTATTTTTAAACGAATAGAGTAAAATTGATCTTAAACTTATCAAGTGCTCATTTTAATGTATAGATTTCCCAGAACATGTGAATCAGTCTGTTTTTATTTCACTCTACCTCTTTCTATAATGAACTCGCAAACAAACCATTCTAATGATGGTTCACTGAATAATAGGTGAGCTTGGAATTCTAAAGTAAATAACAAATTCAACGCATAATATCTGCATATCGATGTGCGGACAACAAAAGTTTTCATATAATTTCATCATTATAAATCTTCAGTGAATCTACCGATAAAGATTTTGTAGGCAACGCTGAATTTTAGGCAAAGATGAATGGTGACTAACAGTGGAATCCAGGATGCGTGTTTTGTCATATTTGGGGCTCAGTAGCTAAGTGGATAAGGCGATGGCGTTTGAAGTGAACGGTACTGGGTTCGAGTTCCAGAGTGAACATCAACTCTGAGATGTAGGTATATGCAGCTGACAAGTCTCAAATAGGATGAAACGCGCGTCCTGGACTTCACTGCTAATCTTTCCTTATAATGCTTGTGAATTAAGGTAATACGCACAGTATACATATATGCCAATAAGAGACTGATCGATTGCATTCCTAAACATCAATGAGAAGATTCAAGTAAAAAATACCAAGTGAACGGTGAATTTTTCCATTAAATCATTTATGGCTATGAAGAATATGCAGGACGAAACGTTTAATTTGAATAAATTCATATTGATGATGCTACATACTATAACTTGTGGGTTTGTGCCCCTATCAATGTATGGCGTAATGATACCGCCCATTAGAGAACATTGAATTATTGACTAGACCAATGACCCGTAAACCCGTACGAGCAGTCTACAGTCCTTATCGGTCCTTCTCCCTGCCTAGCCATATCTGTTAGAGGCCAGAACTCCAATCTCAGCCTCTGTGATATGAACCATGTGTTTCCAGCCAAAAGTGTCTGTGAATGTGAGGGACTGTAATTAATAGAATAGTAAATGGTCTGATAATAGTTCATAGGTCAAAATAAAACTTATAATCAGAAGAACACGAATATAAAAAGTGAAGTTGCTCAACAACTATGCAATAAAAAATATATATAGTATTAGTCCAGAAATAAATTCCAACAGTTACCACTCATTAATCTCATCGGGATATATCACTACATAGTTATGTTTCTACAGTGCTATGATCGAAAAGTGATGATAAACCTTGAAAAACCAGGAGACTTCTTAAAACTACCAAACTGCACCACATTTTATTACTTCTGTTGTAAAGTAATTTTAGTGTATACAGACTCTCCTCAATGTCTGAAAAGTGACTTTAAAAACATATGGTCATCTTGAGAAAACCTCAAGCCCATTTTTATGCTATACTTTTACTATTATCCTTATATTATTTACAAAAAATGCGATTATATCATTTTCTAATCTAAGCATTCAGATGGATCAGGGCTGCTAACGCTTGACGTCAGAAACTAGGACTTCTAGTCAAGATACCTTGATAACACCTTAAGCAATAAATATTTGGTTAAAATCTCAATATTGATTTAAGCTGAAAAATAAGAAACTCAAAGCATCAGTCTCATCATTCATCCAAATTTATTTGCACTATGAGTCAGAATTTCCATGAGAATTAGGGTCCAAAGCATAGCACTAATGTCTAGAAATTCTAACCACTGGTTCCAATCTTGTGATTAAACAATGTATTGCTTTTCACCAGACTTCAAGATTTACTGTTATGTGTGTGATATGCAGTACTTAAAAGAACACTTAACAGAACGGTTACTTCATACGTTTTAGGTTTTCATTTTCGATCAGTCTACGTTGATTTCATCATACATCACTTTAATGTCAGGAGTTGTATTATATGTGATATAGTCAGCGTTCAAAGGCACACAAACCAGAAAAGTGACTTAAACCATTTTTTCCATTGACTAGTAGGTTGTAATCTTGAACTCCTTTCTAAATAAACACACTACAACAACCGGATATTATATACCTAGGATTTTAGATCGGTATCCAACTTCTAATCCTAATAACTTGTTCCAAAGGAACTGTCGAACTAACTAATTAGGCGTTCAGTATTGAAAACATGTGTATTTCTAATCGATATATGAATAATAAATTGATTATCAACATTCTATTACTGTTGAACTTGATTGAATTTATCTTTTTATAATTGAGTTTATATTGGTTGAAAATGATCTGTTTCTTGTTGGGACGGCTTCCAAGAACTACGATGGAGCCTTCACAGACCCTAGAGGAGCCGGAGAGTTCCATCCCATCAGAACGTGATGGAGCTTTTCAGAATATCAACATGGCATGTTACTATTCGCCAGTAGCATAACACACCTCTTTGCGAATTAGTTGAATAATAATATTGATTTAACAAACGCTAATATCTATAAATACCCATGATTTTCTGTACAATTTGATTCTTGCACAACAATCACTTTCTCCAATCTTCTTTTGTCTTCTTATTCGCAACTTGGAGGGTTCTAGTGTTCGAGTGCTCACGTTATTCGCAGTATATTAAGAATCTAAGCTCTAAATATAACATTTCTTAGATGAAATTTTAACGATTAGAACAATGTAGTGATGATATTTAAGAGATTTGCAACTGATTCGTTTAGTTCATTGAACAAAAATACAGACAATAGGGTGAACATTAAGAAGTATTTAGGATAACAATGTAAACGACCACTGGTCATATAAATAAGGCTAGTCATACCAGCTATGTTCCCTATGAAGCATATTGTGTATATGTGAGTAAAAATTAGTATTTCTTGTTACTTGAATATAGTATTAAATTGAATGTTGTGAACGTCTTTGATTTATCGTAAATATAGTTAGGGGCGGCCAAACCAAAACATGGTATCAGTCTACAAAGTCACTAACTTCTAGTCTTGGTCATATTGATAAATGCAGACTACTTGGCTGGGGTCCGCTTGACTATCATAACCAATGGTTGAAGACTCTGGGTGACATGATTCAGAATCAATCACAATGACGTCGGTGTATACGCTCTTTGTCTTCCCTTAAACTAAGAGGTTAACATCGCTTCATATCTTTCTTTCTACGAACTAATTCTTTCTTCCTGTAATATATCCTTAAATGCAATCTTACTTTTATATAATACCACCATTGAAGTAACCACTGCTGTGAATCCGGTGTCCATCTTGTTGTGTTAATGAGGTGTGGCAACTTGAACCGATGCATATATGTGCCTGGTTCTGCGTCGCAGATGACTGACTCATGGTAAATATAAAGTTTGTTAACTTCAAGTATTAAGATAAATAAATTATCTCCTGTTTCCAGGTTAAATATTATCGTTAGTTCTCTAGCATTTATATTGTTCTTGGTAATAGTTACATCTAAAATAGAAATATTTTGCAAAGGATTTGTACCTAGATCAATTCAGTAACATGAAAGCTGAGTAACGAAATGTTTTCGCAACAGTCTATTGTGGAAGAGAACAAACCAACTT